ATGGGATGCTGGCCGGCCGGCCTGTCGTACTGGTCTGGCAATAGCGAACAAGCGCTGTTGGGTCTGTGCGAGAAAGCTGCCCGGCCTTGGACGAGTTGTTTTGCAGCCCTATTGTTCGTAACGTCCCCTTAGCACTTTTGGTGGTTTAAGTCTTTAAGCGTTTATCTATGCGGAGGCTGTACGAAGTGGATGGATGAAAATGAGACGTGTTTTGTGTCCGATTTCTGTAGCACGCTGCTTTGGGCCTGGCTTCACTTCTCGGTGGCTCTTGAAAACCTAGAGATTTCAGATGTGGTTGGCTGAAACACTTGATTTCCTGCTCGGTGGAGGCAGTGAGGTGTGGTGTTTGAACGCAAGGCTGGAGGCCTTCAGAGTCACGGTTCTGCTCTGGTGTCAGATGACCTGCCTGACCTTGCGCAGGTCACTTTGGGACAGGTTTTTCAGTGTTGGTTAAATCACCTGACATTTATTAATTTCAGCGTCATCCGCGCTTCACAAAACGTGATCCTTCCACTCTGTGCCTCAGTTTCTTCATAGGCACAAAGGAGGTTTTCCACAGCTGTTTCTCGAAGGAGAGTTAAACCCATCCTCTTGAAACTGGTGTTATGCAATGCTGGGTATTATTATTCCAGTTTGGCAGCTTAAGGCAGGGTGAATGGAAGCCGAAGCACTTAAGCTTTTACTAAGAAATGGTAAGGGGTTTAGCTTATTAGCAATTGAGGTGAGGTCACTCGACAAGACTGCTTGATAACAGATACTCAGCTATTTCTTACAGAGTGTAAGCAGCTTCAAGCATCATGAGGGGCTGGCAGGCATCTGTAGAAAGAGGTTCAGTCATGATTGCGAATAAACTGACACTCAACTGGCATTAAATAGGTGTGTTTGGGATATCGGGCAATCCTTTATTTGCCTGCACCACCCTACATGGAACAGGGCACCCTGCCTCTTAGTCACCTTATAATGAGGATGACAGAGTTTGTGAGAAGAGCAACAGCACCGATCAGCCAAGATGAAGTGGCAGTTGATGTGATCATGATGAAACTGGGTTTCCTTTTATCCTCCGTTGACTGTTCTTCTGTTTTCTACAGCTTAGCCCTGCTTTGGCTGTACATCAGTCGTGAATTGAGGGACAGGGTTTCTGGGGCCTGGATGTGTGAGGTGGAAGGTGGCCCAGGTGTGTTGGGCTGGAGCCATGGAGGTTGCAGCCAGAGCTGTCTGCCACATTGTGGCATTCCCTGAGGGGCTGAGCCCTGGCTTTGCCTGCTGTGCTCAGGAGTTCTTATTTCAGGGACCTTTTGATTAATTTTTTTTTTCCCTTTTTTTTTTTTTTTTTTAAATTAAAAGCTATGGAGGAAAAAAACCCCAGTCATCACTCTTCTGCTTCCAGAGTGCCAAACTTTATTTCTGTTACTTTACCTTCAGTTACAGGCAGCTTTATCACTGATTCAGCTTCAGAACTGATACTTTTAGGTTCTGTACTTGCCTATTTCCACTTCTCTGGTACTCCTTCATCTCTTTGAAGAGCAGCATATTCCTGTCTTGTCAAAACACTGTTAGCACCACGCAGTAAGTACAGAATTGAAAATCTTCATATTGAATCCAGGTGTTCTTTAAAAATTCAGATTGAGGCAAATCGACTGATAGAACTCAAATTGAAAAATAACCCAATTTAAATCCAATGAGAGAATCAAAGGACTAGACAAAGATTTCAGAAGGAATATATTAAATTACAGAGGAGTACTTTGGAACAAAACCAAATTGTTAGTCAAGCTACAAAGATCAGAGAAGATCCCTAAAAAACAAGTACTGTCAGAAGATAGGTCCAAAAATAGATCCAAAGCTCCAACTCTGAACGTGTAGAAACTAACGTGGTGTTTGAAGGGATCTGATCTGTCTTCAGTACTGAATCCAAAACTGTGGATCAGTTCTTTTGAACAAACTGACTCCATCTGAGAACTTTTCCTGGGAGCGTGTGTGTTGCATGGTAACCCACACCACAAAGTGCAGAGATAATTTTGGGAGCACTGAGACCCATAACATCAGCTGTAATTATGAACAGTCTGCTTTGGCAGAGAAAGAATTAAAAAAGAAACAACCAAGTTCACTGATGTTTTGAAATTTCAGATCTAAAAGAGATTGTGTAGTCAAGGTGTGTTGCTTGCAGCCCTCTTAGCTCTCTGAATTCAAAATAGCACATAGCAGTGCATTAATAATGCAGAGGGGGCTGTAGTGTCTCTGTCATCGGTGTATTTGAGATTAGGTGATGTCTTTTACAGAGGACTTCTAGTTTCAGAAATAGTGAAAGATTTTTTTCTGAGCTGTTTTAAGTGGTGGGTTTTCTCTTATTTGATGAGTTAAACAACAGCTTCTGATCTGATAATTGCTGTTACCTCCCATCTGTTTTTGTGATACTTGGCTTTATGTTCACTCTGTCCTCATCTTCTGAATCATTTTAATGGTTTAGAGATTTACTATGTTCCCCCCCGCCCTTTTTTAATGTGAGTTGAAAAACTGAGGTAATTCACTGTTCTGTCAGCGAACTTCGTGATTTTATAGAGAGTCATTTCTTTTTTCATTTATTGTTTTCTTAAATGTTGTTATTGTTCTGGAATTTGAAAATCTATTTTAGAACTGGATTTGCATGAAGAAAAATACCAGTGGGAGTGACTCGGGTTCTACTGTCTGTAGTAATTTTCCTGGTTTTGTAGAGTAGATGTAAATAATACTCCCCACAGTTTACTACTTTCACAGCATTGATTCACTTGTTGCTCAGTGGTTTTGTGTTTTCATTACAGTTATGCTACTGGTTTTAAGGAAAGAAAACAGAAAATCTCGCATCAGTTCTTGAATGTTTGCTGGTCTGTGGCCTTTTGACATCTTGCAATAAGGGTGCTTTCCTGACCTGCTTCAGTTCAGGTGAAATCTGTGAGAATGAGTTACCCAGCCTTTCCCTGCTGCCCTTAACCTAAAAAACACATTACGCAAGGGGTATAATGCAGGGCACGCGTGCTCCGTTGTATGCTTGTACCTGCTATGTGACCGGGAGAGTCAGCTCATATCTAGAGCATGTGATGCACGCTACAAGCAGGGCCTGGTGCCTGTGCTCCCATGCATATGTATTATGTTGTCATGTTGACCAAACCCCTCTCCAGTTTTCATGGCAAGGACCTGTTGGATTGTCATGCGGCAGCATGTTTAACCATGTGATGAAAAACTGATTGAAACAGGGAGCAGAGCGCTGTGTCTCACACCGCTGTCACAGTGTGTAATGCGCGATACTTTTCTGTAAGAAACTTCTAGGAGACTGCCTCTAAATTTGTGTGTGTTGCAGTTAAGTCTTAATGCTTTGTAGTTTCCAAGGGTACTGACTTGCTCTGGAAGAGTCCTTCAGACTAGATGCTGCTACGGAGAACTTTGTAACTGAGAGGCTTTGCAGGCTCGTGCTATTCTGGCTGCCTTTGCAGAAGAGACATCACAGCTGGGGAATTCTGAGCATAACAGAAAAACAACAATAGTGTATTTAAAGTACGGTGGGTAGTTATGGGTAAGCTCTGGTATCTCTGCTTGTTTTGCCTGGATTCACAAAGTAAACCCTTCAAGGTCCTGAAGTTGCACATGTTTCTCACGAGACCAGGGAGGTTTTTTTTTTCTCTGCTCTTCTTGAGTTAGTACTGCAGAATTTGTGCAGAACTGTTGATTTGTTTCCATCTGCAAGGCACAGTGCTAAGCTTAACGTATATAGGAGGAAGTTCCAAGTTTATGAGAAAACTGCTGAATTGTCATATGCACTGGAGGCAGGACAAAAAAGGTAATTGAGCTTGAAAATCATTGTTTGGTTTTAGCGTTGTTCTGAACCTAGAAACGTCAAAGCATGAGCTATACTTTCTGCACTTAATTTCATGGATGGTAAATTTAGACCTTGCATGCTTACAAATAGCTTAATATCTTCTAAATTAAGTTTATAAAAACTTAATGCAGTTTATTATAGGTAGTTTAACCTAATTTATAACTCTTACCAGTTTAATTCCATAACCAGATTAAGACATTCTATGAAGTAGGAAGGACAGGGAGGATAGGAAGGTAGCACAGGTATTGTAGCCATTTTATTGAAGCACTTTAGAACCCAGACTTGGCTTTTGAGTGGTGTTTGGCCATTCAGATCTTTTTACCTGTGTATGTGGCTTGTTAATATATAAATTGGCTTGCTAGGTTGGGACGTTTCTTCTGTGAAAAATGCAGTACCTTTAGTTAATCACCAAATGCCACAGACTCTGCTGCCATCTCCTGAGGACAAGAGAAACGATGCATCCTCCTTTGCCACATTAAATCTCTTCTAAAATGGGGAATAATGGGTGATGCTTGAGCCAGAAAAATACTTTTATCCAAGTGGAAATGATTCAGAACTTGAAGAGCCTGCCCATTTGGCAAGCATCAGAAGTGTTCAGACCAATAATCTGAGAAGGCACTAGATATTTTTACCCGCAGGAGGAGGAAAGGACAGGATAAGTCGGATTTTTATATTTGTTTGGGAATTGATAAGAGAGAAGTGCAGATGCTCCTTGCATCCCTTCTGCTCAAAGTGAGGCAGTCGGTGTCAGGATTACTTTCTATTCCCTGCTGAAAGAGGGGAAGGGAAGAAGTGACCGATGTGGGAGTTTTAAAGCAACAAAACTTTGTTGGGAGGGAGATTTGAGGTGAGGAAGCGGGGTGGGGAAGAGAGAAACAGCCTATGCGTAGAAGAGTTGCTGGTTACTTGGAGGCTTTTGGACTTGAAGACCTGGGAGCGGAGAAGCACGGCACTGAAATGGGGTAACTGTATTTATGTCAAAGCATATTGAATTAATTCATTATGGGAAGGAAATGAAACAAGGCTTTCTCAAAAATAGAGCCAAACCCATTTCCACAACACTGTCACTAGGTGACTAAGATTAAGATATTTGAATTTTCCTGGGGGCAGAGTAATTTTTTTTTTAATGGATTGAAAATACCACGCTGCATGGTAAGATCTTGATGCATGAAGTGCTTCCTGAGCTCACTTGGCCTTCCTTCTCCCTCTCTTCATTCTTTTCCAGGCTCCATGTGATTTTTGGCCCTTAGCAGACTAGAACCTCGATCCCTGAAAAAAGTTCCCATTTCCACCATCTGACCATTGTATTTTTCCTCTCTTGAGAGTATGGGGTGAGACCCAGGGCAGCAATTTAAGGCTTGTGAAAGTTTTCTCTACGTGGCGCTTGGAATTTCTTGTCAGTAAAGATCACAAATTAGGTTGAAAATTGCAATTAAAGGAGATTTGTTTGGTTTTTAATAAGTAGCTCTTTAGCACAAATTTTTATTTGAGAACAATTCATTCTTACTCAAAACTGGGAAAAGAAAAGGGAGAAAAAATAGCTTTTTGTGCTTGACAAGTTAGGTGCTTGCAATCACTGTTGCCTTAGAAGTATTTGAAGGTAGGCGCATAAAACTGATAGCACGTTGTGTTAATTTTTCACAGTATGTTCTTTATATAATGCATTATTTGAGCACCTCAAAAAAACATCAACCCTGGGACTGAAATGTGAAGTATAGGCAGGAGACCCATAATGACCTGTCATTTTTTCTTTGCTAATCTAATGGACGCAGGCATTTGTAAAAAAAGGTGACTTACAGAAATTGTTTGTGTGAAGCACATAAATGCCTTTCTTCTGATATGTCAATTCTATAGCCTCTTACCTAAGTAAAAGCAGTGCCTTTGAGCTATATAGATTTACATAAATAAGGCACTTTGTGAACCCAGCATCACTTCTGTTTTGAATTTGAAGGTAAGCCTCTGTTCTTGCCTGAGGATCACCAGGTACTTCATGAACATTAATTAGCAAAGGTTCGTGATCTCCTGGGAGGCAAGTAAGGGTTATAATTGTTTTATGTGGGGACACTGAGGGTTATGAAAGGGCGTGGTAACTTGTAAGATGTCTCAGGGTATTGGTAATGGAGACAAAGCTAATTTTGAGCTAAATTGTTTCAAACTGGAAAAGTACTTCTGCTTTGCAGTCATGATTCAAAATCTGCATGTTCTTGTGAGCTTACTTGACTAATAAGGAAAAGTGGTTAGACCAGCAATGGAGAGTTAGGATTTCTGGCAGCTCTTTATCGCTGTATGATCACAGGCAAGTTGTTTCCTCTTTCACCTGACTTTGATGCACCTGGGATAGGCAGATATATCTAAGCCTTTACCTTGTGAGGTGCTGTGAAGCAACGAAGTGCTACAGGCTACCAAGTGACGTATGTACGGCTGCTTTTCTGTTCTAGACCAGCAACATTTATTTATGGTATTTCAGAGTTTGAAAATCCTGTCAGCTGGGCACTGTGATCCCTGCTCTTTGTATCCAGCTGCAGAATCAGATAGCTTTTCATTTTCTTGGGAATCTTTATTTTTATTTGACACTTGTTGAAAGGACCTCACTGTCTTCCCTTGCACTTGCATATTCAGACAGCTGAGATGCTTCGTGATTGTACTGCTTCTTTAGCTTTAGGGTTGTCTTTTTGTTTTGAGATCAGAGCTGAGTCTAGATTTGAGGTCTAGTACAACTCTCAAATAACAGGTTTCAGCTGGCAAAAGTATGAGGCTATTATAGCATAACTTTGCTTCTTGCACGTGAAGACCAGCCAGTCTTTTGTACAATGGTCAGGTTTTCTAGGTTGAAGCAGAGCAAATTACCCAAATATAATAAAGAAACCTTGACTGTAATGTGCTGTGGTTTGGTTTTTTTTTTGTTAGAAAAGAGGGAGGTGAGGAGGGTCTGAAGTACCTCTTGGGGAATTACAATGCAAGCCAGTGAAACCTATTCACACTAAGATCCGTTTGAATCACAAGTCTTGAGTGAAGTCTTCTGTTAATTCTGATTTTAAAATTGCTTCACTTTCTTCTGTACATCACTGTGGCCTTCTACAGTCCAGCACACAGCTGGGGGTAACTTCCAGCAGGGTATCAGGTGTCATGCAAATACATGTGTTCAGTAGTAAGTGGGGCTAAAGAAGATCAGGGGGGCTCAGAAGCAAGTTGGTAAGACTTTTTGCATGCTAGGCTTGTCTTTATCCTTCTGGTTTTCTGACAAGTGAAGCAGAGTAGATTTACAGCCCACAGATCTTCTAGATAATTGAAAACATACCGGTCTGCCCACAAGAACTAGACTAACTTGTGCGCCTAGCAAGACTGCTCATCTGTTTTAGAAACAAAAACAAAAAAAAACCCAACCAAAAAACCAACCTAACCCCAAACACTAGAGAGGCTCTTCTGGCTTTGGAGTTGAATCTAAGCAAAGCCACACCCTTCAGGTCTATAGCTTTCATAGCTCTGGTTTGGTTTTATGTTATGAGTGGATTATCCTGTCTAGACTCCTGCTTTGACTTGGAAGCCAAAATAGGAGCAATAAAGCTAGTTGGCGGCTTAGCGGGTGACAAACCTTCCCTGAATTCCTCTAATTTGTTAGGGCCCTTTTCTCCCCTGTGCTCCCTCTTCTGACTTTTTGACGATACCTCAGTAAGTTTTGCCAGTTGCAGATACAGCTCTGCTAAATTTAGCATGCCAGATGCCTTCAATAAGCCTGAGCCCAGCTATCAGTTACACTGAGATCTGTTTTAGTCAGGCGCATCCCTCTGGGGAGAGACTTGCTCTATTTAAAGTTGAATGAGACTGAGATTCTTACAGCATTAAGAAACCTGGAATTCCCCCTTACATCCTTGATGTTGGTTCTAAACTAGTGTTCAATACTTTATACTCCCTGGGACTGAATTTGTGTTTCGTCTTGAACTGTGACTCTGGAAATTGGCTTTGTCTTGAGCTATCATTCTGTATAGCAGCTCTCCTTCAGTATACATTGAGAGGAAAAAGGCAGCCTTAGCATAAGCTAATGTTTCATTTAGCCTGTGCTACTTCCACTGGTATATAGTTAAGAAGCTATAGGAAAAATAGACAGTGTTCAAATCACAGCCCTGTAGTAGGCTGCAGATAGAGGAATGCAGCTGCAATAGGACTAATTGGATGGCATTTGATCCTAGAAAAAGTGCAAGTGTTTTTTCTAGCAAGTGCTTGAAGGATCCTAGGCCACTGGCATGCAAGAGCAGGAGCATTAATGCTGATGTTCTGGGTATGCATCCAGTTTCAGTAACTGCTGCAAGTTACCTTACTGGTGTCCCACTTCCATCGGGATTTCAGGGATCACTCTTTACTTCCACTCTTACACCACTGAGCAGTGTCACTGTGCTTTCAACGAACAGCAGCCTTATGCACCTTCACTAGTGAAGTCTCAGTGTGTTTTTTTCCTCATTAACCGAGTCACGGTATGTTGCAGTTGTGAGAAATGTCCTAGGATATGACAGGAAAATGCTTCTGGTAGGGACAGGAAAAACTTGCTTACTATTGCCTTGTACAACTGCAGTGTTTGAGTTGCTGTAAGCAGTTTTGGTTAGCCATGTTTAAGGAAATTAACTTTAAACTGAAGGAATGGAAAGAAGAGCTATTATGACAATAGTAGGAATTAAGAACCAGTCTTAAAGGAGGAGGCCAGGAAATTGGCTTTAGTTACAAGAAGGAAAGTATAAAGAGGTCATGGTAGCTCTCTGAAAAAGCATGTGGGATAGGGTGTATTGGTACCCATCAACTACTGAAGCTAATGAGCAATAAGAGACAGCATATGGGTAGAACTTGAGTGCATTTGAAATGGAAATCAGAAGAAAGCCTAGCTATGAGAATAATGGTAGCTTGGGAACAGCCTTGCAATGGAAGATGTTGAAGTGGCTTCAGGGGGCTGGCGTTCCATCTAGGAAAGTGTATGGATTTGTAGGGCACTGTAGTTATAAGAGGCCTGACTTGATGAGCTGAGAGTTCCTCATTCCTCCATATTAAAAATAGTTGCTTGAGATGGGGCAGCTGACTTGGTCCAGAAGCTTTGACACTTAAGGTGAGTACAGTTGACTGTTGTGTGCACTGTGGAGTGCTATTTGATATGTAGGATGCCAGTAATAAGCGTGTATCTTCTTAGGATCATTATTAATATCTATTAATAATAGAATAAAATAATCTGTTAAGGAAGGTCATGTTCCTTCTGGGCACTTCAGGCTCTTTTACACATCTTTATGTTCTCTCATATGCTAATTTGAGCTCATGATTTTTTTCTTTGCAACAGCAGAGGATAGGTATTTCTGGTACAGCCTATACTGAGCTGGAATGCACAGGACTGGCCTGATCAGTCCTTAGCTGGTACAGTAAATTTACCTTACTGATTTGGCTGAGAGGTAACTTGAAGAAGCAGGTCTACTTGTAAATAGCTATTAAAAAACCAACCAAACAAACCAAAACAAACCCCAAAGCTATTTGCACTACTTCAATGAAAAGAAAGGAGTGATCATTTTGTGTCCTTTGTTACAGGTGCTTTATCTTGGATCTTTTGAGGCAAGGGTAGATTAAGTCCTTAAGTTCAAAGTGCATGTTGTATGGTAGATTATAATCTAGGTTTAGCACAAAATCATCTAGACACTGAATGATCCCTGTGCTCCTCTTGCACAGTGCTTCTAGTTTAAACTGGGGTAGGCTGGCACTTCTGCTTGAGAACCGACCAGTTCTGCCTCTGGCAATTTTTTCCTCTTCTTTATGCTGGCAGAAGACTTGTGTGGTGAACCCAATCAGGGGGCTGATGTGGATTAAAACTAAACGTTTCTTTTTTGGCTAGGTTAGTCTGAATTGGGGTTGGTTTGTGCCAGCAAGAGGGTGGAAATGAGTGGCTTGGGGACAGCAAGACTGCTGCTTTCGGCAGCAGTGCCAGCTTTCCTATGTTTTTACTCGAGGCCCTAGTGGCACTTTTGCTGTGATGTCCTCTGGCAAAGTGAAGAACTCTCATGATGTGGGTCTTCCTTTCCATGTCCTCATTTAGTTTACTTATTAAATGTTTTTGTGTGTAATAGATGTGGTGCTGATTTAATCAGCTAGTGCCATACATTAAAGTAATTTATGGTTTGAGTACATGCTATTTAAACAGACATATTTAGCATATTGGTTTATGCTTCCTGCAGTGTTTCTCAAACTTTTTTCATATTACCCTCCAGGATAAATTACTGGCCCTGGTGCAACTCTCGAGCAACGAGGAAACAACTAGTGACAGAGCACAGGAGGCAGGCAGAAGGAGATGGCAGGAGGCAGCAATGAATGTGGCAAGTGGTGAGAGAGAAGGGAGCCCAAGGGCTCTAGGAGATCTGTCAACAGCACCTTTTAGCCACCTACTACTGGAACTTGTTTCTCTGGCCTGATGCCAGCCTCGGAGGTGATGTCTTAGCTCAGCAGCTATGAGCAGCCTTAGACTGCTTCTGCACTTATTTATTTATTCCCTGTCTGAAACCTTCTTGGTGAAGGTTCATCTTCTGGTCATGGTCCCTTTTTCAGCCATCTTGTCCTGGCTGCCTCTGACAATATATCTTTGTGCCGTTGCACTGTCATCATAAATATTCCATAGTAACTGTATTTTAATGCCTGATTTCATGCTTCACTAGTAACTGATTAATTTTAAAATAATATTAGAAAACACACTACAATATGTCAGAGATTTTTGCTCAAGTATAAAGAGGCACTTGCTCTATAACAGCTTTGCTGTGAGTTCATTGTAAGAGTTCATGTTACTGATTTGCTGAAGCTTGGATCTACTGATAGAAAAAAGTATCACCAGGGTTAATGTACTACTAAATCTTCTGGACAAGAGGCCTAGGCTTTCAAGGAACTGAGTGTGAATGTGAGGTTTTTTCTCTTCCCTTACTGACTTCCTACTCTGCAGCTAATCTGATCTAACCGGGCAGTTGAGACCTGCTCCCTTTTGGTTTCCACTCTGATGTAGACTGCAGCAAAAAGAGGCTGCTGAGTCTTCTCTTCATTCGTTGTATGAGATTATTGAGGTCCTCTATTCCAGCAAAACTCTCTCCCAGACACAAATACACCTGGGAACTCACATGCCAGAGTTTTATTCCTACCCTTTGTGAGAAAAGGTAGCAGCAGTGCTGGTTGGGATGAGAGAAACGCACAACTTGCCGTCTGTGTGCCTGAAGAAGCCCTGCCATGCTAGACTGAACAGCTGTGCTAAGCTGGGCATAAAACAAGTATTACAGTTACCCTACCATCTAACAACTTTACTATCATTTGATAGCATGCTTGTTTACAATGGCAATACTTCTGTGGTGTGAGGAGGAGGTCATCCTTGCTAGCTCAGTACTTTATGTTGGAATATAATACCAAAGAGGCGTGCACAAGTGGTGATACATGAAGAAAGGAATCTTAAGAGCAAAAATAATCTAGAAGATGGAAAAGGCTGTGAAACAAAGGGCCAGTGGTGGTAGAAATCATGGAAAGGAGATAGTGCAGACTGTTTCAGCACAATATAGTTGTTTATAGCTAAAACTTTAGAAATGTATGCCATTGCTGTTGCTTGTAGTATGCCTGGGTATCTTGACATGGATGAGATGCAAGAATATGGAGACTGTTGCTTCTTCTGTCATTCGTCAGGTCACTGCTGGAGAACTTTCCAGTTCTAGTGAGCTGTCTCTCAAGAGGTTGCTGTACAACTGGGCGGAGTTCAGGGGCAAACTACAAGGATTTGTAGCATAGTAATTGCCTTTGCAGTGAGCGGGTAAAAGGATAGATGGACATGTTCTGTGTAGTAGGGGGAAGATGACGAGCTGCCTAGAACAAGTTGCAAGCACCCGTACTGGCATGAGATGTTTAACAACAGAGGGCTTTTTAATCTCTTTGGTAAATGTGTGATGAAAGGTTAGACTTGGGAGTCAGCAAAGTTCAATGTGGAAATGCCATCCATTAATTCTAAGTAGTTAGAATAATTAACTGGAACTTGTTAATCTGATGGAGAATTACAAAATCATCAACAGTCCATTTGTTAATGCTAGATGGTTCTCTAATAGGTAGGGCCTCCTTACAAATTGTTTAGCTTCTGTAGAGCTCACTAGGGAGACTGTCTGATCTGTGTCGTACCAGAGAGTGGGCAATGGTGATCCTTGATACCTTTGCAGAACTGAAGACTGCATTCTTTGCTGTAAAAGAAAAAGAGAAAGTGGGTGTGAGGGCAAGTTATGCTTCTTGAAGTAAACATTAAACGCTCCATTCCTGTAGCTTTCTCTGATAGTTTTGCAGGCTGCATGTACAATGCCTAGAAAGCATTGTGTATTTATCACCCATTGTTGGTAATGACAACTAAAACTAATGTGGTATCTGGAGTACTAATAATTTAAGGGGTTTTGAGGTATAATCAAGGTCAGTCAATAAAATAGAGACAGATCATATTACGCATTGTTTGGTACAGTTCTTGAAGAAAAACATTGTTGGTTAGTATCTCCTCTTCTTTTCACTGTATTATGTGAGTTAATTTGGGCTGTTGTGTCTTAGGCATCAACCTATCTGAAAAAACAAGCTGCCTAGGCACAAGAGGCATTGGGGATGGAAAGCAACTATTGCACATTACTACAATGAACTTTGAAGCCTGGCATACAAGAATCTTAGAAAGCTGCCTTTTGGAAAACAGAATTTGACTTTTTTTTTTTTTTTATGGCAAAACTGTGTCTTTACCAATGTTTGAGCAGAAAATAATCTGGTTGCCTGTATGTATTTGGTAAAACAAGGCTGAGATGAACTTAGAGTTGTGTGTGTTTCTAACTCAACATACGTTGGCTTTGTACCTGCCTACATATTCTGGTCACCATTTGGGAAAACATTTTGATTATCTTGGTTTTTTATTTTTCATTCTTGTAGTCCTTGTTACAACTTCTACCTGGACCCAAGAAATTGGCTTGGGGAATATGAACACCTGATTTTTTATTTTTTTTTTCTTTTTTTTTCCTTCTGTATATGTAGTGTTTCTGTCGAGAAGTTAGCCTTAGAAAAGGGAGAAGCTTGGTCTGTTTCTTTTCAATATAACTCAGTGCAGTACTGGTATTTTAAGGTTGTGATTCTGTTCTCAGTCGGCAGGAAGAATGACTTCAGTGATGATCATAATAGATGCGGAAGTCACCTTGACAGTGGCAAACTTGTATATTAACAGGGTTAGTGTGAGTTTGCTGCACACAGTATTGTTGCTTTTTAGAGACAGATGTCTAATAATGACTTAGTCTTTGTCTAAGCATAAGCTTTATATTGATAGATGGTAAAACTAGGGCTGTCTTTGAAGTATGGATAAGGACTTCATTTTCTTGGTCTCTATTTTAGCCACCTGTCCCTCCCATCTTTTTCTTTTCTTTCTTCCCCCCTCCCCCCTGTGATCTTGATGATCAGTGAGGAAATTAATGGGATAAAGTTAAAGCTAATACTCCTACAGAGATTTGTGTTCTGTCTACCACCCAATAAAACCACACATATACTATGGTATGTCAGTGTCTGACTGTATAGTACCAACTGAAATTGGGTTTGGGAGTTAAATCAGCCACCAACAGAAGTCTTAATTGTATGGCTTGAACATTGCAGTTCAGATGTACGTTGAACTGATTATTAGGTGGGACAGTTCTCTAAGCATAAATAAACTGATTTTTGGGATCCTTAGAAATTTTGCAGTGTGTCAGATGTTAAGCATGTTTTGATTTGTTCCAGTAGCCGGATCGAGCTGGGAGATGTGACACCACACAACATTAAGCAGCTGAAGAGGCTAAACCAGGTCATTTTTCCTGTCAGCTACAATGACAAGTTCTACAAGGATGTACTGGAGGTTGGCGAACTAGCCAAATTAGGTACAAATGTTCTTGCCAGTAATTGTGGGCTATGGTGGCAGAAGTGCTCATCATTGCTATCCATAATGGTTTTGAATAGCAGATCCTTCTATTTTGTTGTTTTACATAATGAAAAATAACTGTTTGGGAACCTTGAAAAGCCACAGTCCCAACCTCAGAGGGTTTGTGTTCTAAATAGATTTCATTTTACTGGGAATAGGCATGTTTTCTGTTACAGCAGAAAACTCAAGAGATGTGCACTACCAGCTTTACCTCCTGATGTCATTGTTAGTTGGTTTGGGCTCTAATAAGCCAATCATTCTATCAAAGCATCATTGGCAACTTCACTCAAAGTGCTAGCCACACTCTGATTTTATCTCGATGGGAGAATTAGCAAGAGGGAAGGAGGATACAGGGTGTGAATGAAGGAACTGTACAGTTTGAGACTTGCGACTGATAACACTTTGTTTCCCTCCCTGGCAGCCTATTTCAACGATATTGCAGTGGGAGCAGTGTGCTGTAGGGTGGACCACTCCCAGAACCAGAAGAGGCTGTACATCATGACACTTGGATGCCTGGCACCCTACCGAAGGCTAGGAATAGGTAAGGAGGATCTTTTTGTATCTGAGACATCAAAGAAACCAGATAGCTGTGCAGCCTCCTAAATGCCCTTTCAGAGCTTTAACCAAGAAAGTGCACTTTCAGACTGCTAATTTCTTTGGAAGGGACTTTGGGGAAAAAGTATGATTTATGATGTGCTCTTTTTTTCCTGCTTTTCAGAAATGGACTTTTTGTAGAGCTTTCCAATTCAGGATTTCAGATTATTTTAATTTTAATCACGTTATCATACTGTGATGTAAATACTCTGCTTCCACAGATGTGAAAATTCATGTACAGAGATATGAAATAATTTGTCAGAGGTATGCAGCCAGTATGCAAGTCATGTATAAGTAGAACACAGCATTTCTTCATTGGTTTATCTCTTCACTCTTCCTAATGAGGGGGTTTTTTCTATTTATTTTTATTTTTTTTTATCACTACTGATTATTGCTGCTCCAGGGTAGTACCTGCTTTCTGACTATACTACAATTCGTTCTTTTCTCAATGTTGCAAATCCATAGGCCAGATTAATCAAGACCATACAGTAACCTGTTTGCTTTGACAAACTGGAATGAAAAGATAACTTTATTTTAAATTATTTTACCAGGCCTTTATTAGAAAAACTTAACCAATGCTCTCACTGCTTTATACCTTTTTTTACCTTATTTTGAGGTGAGTTTGAGACCTTGCAGCTAGTATTTAAATAAGCTGCTTTATACCTATGCTTCTGAGGTGTTGTGGTTTTTTTTTCTCCAAAGAAACAATTAATTAAATTTTGTGAGCAGTCAGAAAGATCGTGAAATACTTGTACACCATGTTTATTTGCCTTTCCTAGTTCTCACAAGCTCTGTCATTTTAGCCTACCTAACAGTTAACCTGCCTCTCCTCAAGAAAGCCCTTAGCTAAGTACAGACTTGATTGTGTACTTCTGGTTTTCTTAAGTATCTCTTTACCTTTTGGCAGGAACTAAAATGTTGAATCATGTCTTAAACATCTGTGAAAAAGATGGCACTTTTGACAACATCTATCTGTAAGTAAATGAGTTACACTCATGCATTTTTGGAGACATGATAGAGGCATGTATGGGAGCAAAGGGAGGGAGATTCAAGAGCATTTCTGTTATGTATTTCAGTGGGGTCATGGAACATCTTGTAAGTACTAGCAAGAAAGCTAGGGGTCGTATTCTGGGCTTGTTGTGTGATGCTGAGAAAACCAAAAGCTTGCTTGCTTTAGGAGGGCTTCTGCAAATTTGCTGAATTTGAAAGTAGTTTAGTTACAAAATGATGTTCTGTAGCAGAATTACACTGTATGACTAAAAGGTTTTGTGGAAGAATTTTTTTACCATACAGTGTCATCCCCAGAATGGAAAGTACTGCAGGTCTCATTCAGTAGCAAGGCCCAACTGCTTTTTCCCATTCTTGCACTGTGACAGGTTGGCTGTTTGTGCACCAACACAGTAAACTAGGTCAATGAACTGACCCAGATGGGGAAGAAGCTGGTTTTTGTTTTGTTACTGGGTGTTGGGTTTGGTTTTAGTGTGGGGTTTTTGGGGTCTGGAGTGGGTTTTGTTTTGTTGGTTTGTTTTTTTTTCTTTAAATGAACTGCACTTGGCATGATGCAGACATGAGAATAAGCACAATAAACGGAGTGACTTTCTCCTCAAGCTTAGTCCACCTCTGCCAAGGAGAGATGCAAAGTCTTCCAAGACCTCTACTGTTATAGCTTTGTGCCATGTCTATAAGAGGAACAGGTGTTTTAAAGAGGTGTTTGAGTAAAGCTGCTTTTGGCTTGTATTCCTGCTCTCCTGCCTCAGAAGAAGTGGTAATGAAGTCTCTCTCAGACACCTGCTAGTTGGCACAGGCTTTCCTTTTTGCTTTTGCACTGTGTGCACAGTGAAGGAACAGTGTGCTGTTTTTAATGCAAAAAAGACAAGTCCTTTGTAATCCTTCTTTCTGCTTCCCAGATGCTTTGGGCATAACAAAGTTCTTTTAGCGGCCTGTTGCTTTTATTACTATGTCTGTTGCTTGTGCATCTTCTATCTGAACTACGCAGCTTCGCACACAATTTGATATTGGTGGCTAAATTTGTCATTATTGTAAAGTTTCCTTTTAGCTATTTGGTGTTTATTGGGTTAACACTAAGATCTTTTGTTCTGTTCTGCTGTTGCTTCCAGAGTTGCTTTGGTTCTATGGTTATGCAGCGTGTTGTCATGACAAAGTGATTCATGAGCTTGTGCAGTGTCCACTGAATTTTGGGAGTGTTTAATGAATGCCTTTTGCTGAGCCAAACATCTCTCCCTTTTTTTTTTTTTCCTGGTAGAACTTGTGCAAATAAATATCCTAGTCGCTTAGAATGAAGAACTGATGGCTGTTTGCTTTGGAGGCCTTGAAACTCTTGAAATGTGCTAGCAAGATTTGTAAAACTCTGGGGGAGATAGATAAAAGTGGGAAAGACTTAGTAAGTCCATAGGGTGTCTTTGTGCTGCCATAGCTTTTTGTGAGGGGAGAGGGGTAGTAAGAAATGAGCAAGGAGTTAAAATCCTATCAAACAGCATTACTAGTTTTGTGTTGCAGCGTGTAGGGTTTTTTTTACTCAGACAACTGTTTGGGTCATCTAAGAAGTGTCACTACAGGAAGCTAAAATTGGCTCTACAGTGGAACTTTGTTATGTATTTCCACAAAATATCTGTCACTTACAGATTAAGAAAAATTGAGATTACTGAGCTAGTAATGCTTCAGAGTCTCTCTGCTATTTGTGTTCCTTAAAAGAGCTTTACTGAGGGGAAACATTTCCCACTTCTCAGAATGATTGTTACAGGCCATCCAGGAGCTGTGTGTTAGCTCAGGATTGACTTGGGAAGCCCAAAATTTCCAGTCCTGAACTTACACCATCGTTCCTGTCTCTGTCTGGACAGCTCCTTTTCTTATCTTGTCTTTGATGGTTCTGAGTGTAGAGGCAGACTACTGTACCGCAGAAAGTTCTGACACCTGTCTGTCCTCCTTTCTGTCCCAGGCATGTCCAGATCAGCAATGAGTCTGCAATTGACTTCTACAGAAAATTTGGCTTTGAGATCATTGAGACGAAGAAAAACTACTACAAGAGGATAGAGCCCGCAGATGCTCATGTGCTGCAGAAAAACCTCAAAGCCCCCTGTCTTGGCCAGAATGCAGATGTGCAAAAGACCGACAACTGAACAAAACCCCAACGAACACTTTCTTGCACTTGCTTGTCGCCAAATAAGGAAAGAGAGGCCTCTTGATTTTTCTTTTTCTTTTTTTTTTTTTTTTTTTTTTTTTTTTTTTTTTTTTACTCCACCCCTTCATCCTCTTAAATTTTTTTTTCTTGACCTCTCTCCAACAAAATGTAATGCTTTTTCCAAGGATTGTCCAATCATGTTTGGGGTTAATTTTTTTTTTTTTTTTTTTGAGCTCTCCTTTCTGGTTTTGGTTTGGTTTTGGGGGAGGGAGGGATCTGGCTTTTTTGGGTTTTGTTTTGCTTTTTTTTTTTTTTTTTTTTTTTCTGAGGGTGGGAAAAGGTGTGCAGATCTCTTTTTGAGTTGTGGAGGGCTTGAGCAGGTCATCCTGATGACAAGTTTCCTTCAACATTATCTCTTTCAGTAAGCAGAATGTAAATCCAATGGGGGGAAAAAAGGAAAAGCAATATCTTGTCCTTTGACTCCTACATTATTGTGTTTTTTATAACCTACAGGGTACTTTACTCCCCCCCCCCCCCCCCCCTCTTGTTTTC